TACTTGGGCCTAGGACAGTCTAGAGGACTTGGGGAGTTTATTATTATATATAACTAAGTCCTTATTCAATAATGACGTAAACAATTGCTTAGACTTTAATATTTAGTTGTACATGGATAAATGAATATATCTCACTGCGATTTGTCTTTTATTTTAAAAGTTCTTAATAGCTTGTAGCTATCATTTTTAAGTTCACTCAAGGAGAAAATTAATTTTAAATTTGACATACTAATTTATTTCAGTGGAGTTAAAACGAATGGACATTTCAAATAACTTTCATTCCCTGATGACGGGGCAAAAGTCTTGATAATTTAAATTTAGCTAATAAACAGTAGCTTAATTTCCGACAACATTCAGTAAAGTCTGAAACTAATAATTCGAAGGCCATTTTCATTTAGATTTCAGTCGTCACCTCCTATAAACTTTAGGAAACTTGGCATCATATTAGTTAGTATCTAAATCCCCATAACCGTGCCAATAGATTGCGAACGATGTAAAATATCAGACTAGTTTTCTTCCTGTCTGAATATTTTACTTTTAACATTAATGGATTCTTGGTTTTAGTTCTAAATGTCAACAGTCTTATTGGTCAGATCTCATGAATCGATGCCTTTTGGGCGGTAGAACCAATTAACCGTCTTTATTTCAGCCTTTTACGCACATATTGTGCAAAATGAATCCTTATATGATTAGTAAGTTCGTATAACTTTGTTAGTCTTTATAAAGAGGTGCATATCATTTCAGTTATTTTATTGACGTATGCATTTGTGTGTTCCAATATATGCAGTACGACCTACACATATACTTCTTTTCTTACCTTAATCCATTGATTTTTTTTCAAATAATGATGAATAGTGTAATCTGAAAGTGATTGGTACCCTTAAGAAATACGACATAACATTTTCCTGGTATTCACTTGTGTTTATTGTATGTGCGCATAGCACATAGATAGAATTTAACCAATTACATTTGATAGAATATTCTGATAGAAACACTATCACCTACCTAATGACAGTAAGGTGTAGGTAGTAAAGGTACATACCTTCCAGGATAAAATTATTTCACTGCTTTACAAAGATTACAAAGACGAAGGTTTATTCATCAAATTAACAACTTTTGTCCGCTAGAATAGTTTGAAATTTGGTGCTAGTATGGAGATTCCACGAGTGTTATCTACAGTCTGTTAAATTATTTAAAAAACAATCTTATTCCTTTTGAGATAAGACAACTTCACGAGTGAAAATCTCAAAAAATATATAATAATAATAATAATAATAATTTGCTTCATTCCAAAACAGTATTTGTGATACAGAATGGAATTCTCAGGATTTCACTACAGTATTTTATCCAGTTATTACATTAACAGTAAATAAAACTACATAGATTGAGGGTAATCTCGGTTAGTTTTGACAACAACATACTAGCATGTCGATAGCAAAGCCAAAATCAAAATCCTGGATTCCACTGCTAGCCACCATCCACCAATTGTATACAAATCAAATCCCCAGACATCGTCGAAGCATCTGCACAAGAAGCCGACATGTCAACCTGAGACCGAACACTTCGGTCCAATCAATCGACGGGAAAATCAAAAATTCAATTCAATAATTAATATGACCCGTCGCACAACAGGTGGCTCTCGTGGCCCAAGTGGTCTAGTGGATAACGCTTTGGCGTTTGAAACTATGGGCACTGGGTTCGAGCCTCGGTGGGAACATCATCACTCACTGAGAAATGCAGGTACATCCAGCTGACGAGTCCCAATTAGGACGAAATGCGCATCCTGGATTCCACTGCTAGCCACCATCCACCAATTGTATACAAATCAAATCCCCAGACATCGTCGAAGCATCTGCACAAGAAGCCGACATGTCAACCTGAGACCGAACACTTCGGTCCAATCAATCGACGGGAAAATCAAAAATTCAATTCAATAATTAATATGACCCGTCGCACAACAGGTGGCTCTCGTGGCCCAAGTGGTCTAGTGGATAACGCTTTGGCGTTTGAAACTATGGGCACTGGGTTCGAGCCTCGGTGGGAACATCATCACTCACTGAGAAATGCAGGTACATCCAGCTGACGAGTCCCAATTAGGACGAAATGCGCATCCTGGATTCCACTGCTAGCCACCATCCACCAATTGTATACAAATCAAATCCCCAGACATCGTCGAAGCATCTGCACAAGAAGCCGACATGTCAACCTGAGACCGAACACTTCGGTCCAATCAATCGACGGGAAAATCAAAAATTCAATTCAATAATTAATATGACCCGTCGCACAACAGGTGGCTCTCGTGGCCCAAGTGGTCTAGTGGATAACGCTTTGGCGTTTGAAACTATGGGCACTGGGTTCGAGCCTCGGTGGGAACATCATCACTCACTGAGAAATGCAGGTACATCCAGCTGACGAGTCCCAATTAGGACGAAATGCGCATCCTGGATTCCACTGCTAGCCACCATCCACCAATTGTATATAGATACTAGCATATTTACTGGTGTAAGCGGTAACAAAAAAGTCGAGATATACAGAGTGTGAAAGAACGAAGAAGAATGTTATAAATAGAGTTTGTAAGGAAGAGAGGAACGAAGCAACACATAACAAAAAAGAGAAAAGGAAAAGAAAGAAAGAAAACGTTCCACCTATAAATGATATGAGTTGGAAAGACGAGATCCACTTGTTCTACTGACTATTTAATAGGTTATAGGTATCACGCCTAATGCTTTCTTTATTTCACAGAACACGAGCTAAGTAGGATATGGTTGAGTTTTTGTACTTACTAGTGCGAGCATATATTTTTCTATATAGGCTTCTGGTCCTACCTGATGAGATACAAGGGGAGAGTTGTGAGTGAAGAGGGTGGTTTGAGTTAGATAAAATGGATTTAGCCCATTTTTCACATGAGTCAAAATGCCTGTCGACCAGAATATTAACAAGCTGGTTGAGTGGCACGTAGCTTACCCTACTGACAACCTTTAACATCCTGAGTAATAAGGTATAGTCTTTCTTCAGTAGCCAGCCCTGGAAAAACTAAGGGGGAACAATAGAAAATAACAGGCAGGATGCAAGAATTAACGAATCGTAGGAGTAAGGGCTGGGTTATACCAGAATGACTTAACTTCTTAATGTAGAAAGTAAGACGGAATATTTTCTTAGAGATCATCAAGATATGAGACGACCAGGAAAGATGGGCAGATAGAATGACTCCTAGGTATTTAATTTCCGACTTGGTTTCTATTTCAGTGCCATCTATATTGCACATCTTGTGAGTGCTAACCAGTTTGTTTAAGTCAGATTTGTGCCTAAATGTGAAATTGACTGTTTGGCATTTAGAGGGATTTAAGGTTAGACCGTTTTCCTTGGACCACTGGCTGATTTCTGATATAAGCTGTTGGGTAAGTTTCCACATAAATAGCTGACTATACTTCACTGAAAAGCTTGCATGTTGTTGGTGGAGTTTAACATGTACTTATAATGCGATCGTTATTGCAAATTGGAGGAAAAAATCCACTGAAGTAGATTTTTTTAGCATAAGATGTAAGAGAGACATTTAATTGATGGATGGTGACTGGCAGTGGAATCGAGGATGCGCATTTCGTCCGATTTTTTTCATTATTCTTCTGTAAGTCCTTGCTTCTGTTTCCCAAAATGTAACATTGTAATAGAAATGCTTTTAAGAAACTTTGTCCCGTGAGAGAATTTAAATAAGGTTATGAATACTTAAAGTAATAATGATGATGTGAAATGCGATTAATGAGATTTTTAAACAGAAAGATGGCACAGTGATCAGAACACCACTGCTGGCTGACTGTTTGTTTTATGGCAAAGCTTGAACACAGTTAGCTTGGTCAAACCGTTGACTGCTGCGATACATACATAAGCTATGTAGGCGACACTTCCAATATCTGAGATAACGACGTAGTACTTGCTGATGCATTACTGGCATTCGACAACTGTCATCTTTCCCTACAACTTATCGTAAAAAAAGAATCTGAACTAACCATTCCTCTTCTGTGTGTCTCACTAGACGTCAAGACGAATCTGTTTATTCATCTGCTGAAAACGCACATTGAAAGGACAACTAGCTTATTCCTATAGTTGGGTACCTGTCCTCAGGATATGAAACTTGATTCATTCACTGTACTATAGAATAAGAAACATTTACATTCCTGACTGCGCTGATATGGAACTTTGTTACCTAAAAGCGATACTTGTAGAAAATGGTTAACCAAACTGATTTTTTGACAAAAACACCAGAGATAAGCAATCTAAACTGGCCACTGACTCAGTTTTTAAAGAAAATCGTCTTCATGGATTGGGATTCATAAGTGGTCAGGTTGCAGATATGCTTAAAAATTAGCCAGTAAGACATTCTTTTCAGCTAAACGCTAATTGACCACCAGACGTAAGTTGTACTCCGTCCTTCTGGAAGATAAGCTCCCTCATCTGGCCGATTTCATGTGCAGCTAACATTCCACCTGCTCTTTTTGAGCAATGTACATACGCCCTAACCATAGAATGTTTCCCACTCAGATATCTATGGTCGGCCTGCAAAATTTGGGCTACCGATATCCATGCTGAAAATTCCATACTTGTACCGAAAATACAGTGTGGAATCAAGCTGTAAATCAAAAATAAAATAAAAAAATACGAGAGCACATTCCAGCGTGTTTTATGTGGTGGAAAAGAAGAATATGTGGAGTTCTATTCTGGCATGCTTGATCGACCTCTGTCACTCTAACAACTTTGACCATGATTTTAAGATCATCTATCGAATTCATACTAGCTTGCCGCGTTTTCTTCATTCCAAACCTCTAAAAACAACGCAGATCTTGACCATTCATAAATTCAAGTAAGACCTTTGTGTACAAAAAACGTATTTACTGACTCTATTTCTGCTTTGGCTGTAGAGGGATAAATATTTATTTATTTTTTGTTTATTCTGTGTACCCTTCATTTATTAATACAATTGTTATTATTATTCTCTCTTTGAACAGTTTCTAGAATTATTCCACTTGTCCCATTTATGATTTCAAATCGGTATATTTTTGGCATTATTGATTTCTATCTTGTCAAAGCTCTCATCATGTCACGCAATGTGTTAATTGCCTATTCTAAGACTTCATATCACTTTTCAAAATCTATACATTCTATGAACTATTCTATGTTTGAAATTATTTGTTCTATCACTTAACTATAACCATAATCATAATCACAAGCATTCCGATCTCATTTCACACCATCATTGTTATTATTTTTGTTTAAATTTCCCCACAGGATATGTTTTCCTTAGAATATATATATATATATATATGTACGACTATACAGATTGATAATAAATTTGTTGAAAAGTCTCTTCTATGAATATTTTGCTTATAATGTTACAATGGGAATTATTAAATTATTGGAAGAATGCTTTTCATAAGCATTCGATTTAGATAACTATACTTCCCCAGTTCACTTTTATTTACACAGAAATTTTATATTTCGGTAGGAAGACACTATTATTCATTTTATGTGCCAGTTATTTAACCACTTAACTAGAAGACTGTTTATTGTGCACTAGTAAAGCTTCATTCCAAATATTTTAAAGAATACCCGATCAGACGAATAGTTTCAGAGGTTACGATTAAGACCTTATTGTAATTTTGCTCTTCTTCTACCAACTTGTCACCTATAACAGAACAGCTAGAGATTCAGTATTCCACTTAATACTGTGTGAAATCCCAAAATGTTATTGAGAATGCGTCTTGTTACCATATTTTGACTGTGCTCTTCTAGTATGTCTAACTGTCAGACGATTGTGATAATATTATTGTTTTTTCAAGTATTGGTTTTTGTAGGGATTTTGTTTGATTTTATGGAGGATTTAATCATGAGCTGACATCAGTTAGAGAACCACTGGAAAACCTGGGAGTACTGGACAGCTGTTTCGTCCTAGTTTGGGACTCCTCAGCAGTACGCACCCACCGGGATTCGAACCCAGGACCTTCTGGTTACAAGGCGAGCTCGTAGACCATTGAGCCACTGGGACCCGATCCAATGGTCCTTGAATTCTAACTTCTGCCAGTTCACGATATAGCGCGACCACTTCGCAATGTCTTCTCCGATGAGTTACTGCCTCATCTTCGACCTGCTGTACCCTACTGGTCACTGCTTCCCACTAGAACCCCAGGTTAACTGCCTGAATAGGGCCAGTCACTAGTGAGCATCAGATGAATTTTCAAGTATTGGTTTTTGTAGGGATTTTGTTTGATTTTATGGAGGATTTAATCATGAGCTGACATCAGATAGGGTCCCAGTGGCTCAATGGTCTACGAGCTCGCCTTGTAACCAGAAGGTCCTGGGTTCGAATCCCGGTGGGTGCGTACTGCTGAGGAGTCCCAAACTAGGACGAAACAGCTGTCCAGTACTCCCAGGTTTTCCAGTGGTTCTCTAACTGATGTCAGCTCATGATTAAATCCTCCATAAAAAAATATTATTGTTCCCTTTGGTTCCGAGTGGAACATAAGGCTTCAACAACACATATCCACTTTGTTCTGTTTTCTGCCGTCCTCTTCAGCCAGGACAACGATTCCGAAAACTCTCTTTTCTCCTCCTCACACGATCTCCTCCATGTCACCCTAGGACGACCCACTCGTTGCTTCCCATTCGGATTCCACTCGAGCAGTTGCGTGACGCACAATGCAATTCGACAGTCTCCTCAGCGAATGCCCCATCCATCTCCATTTCTCCTACATATTTGTTGAGCAATCGGCTCTTCATCGATTCGTCCCCAGAGTTTCTTGCTACTAATCCTTTCTGCCCAGTCATTTGATCTTCAATATGGAGCCAGCCAGGGGAGTGGGCAACTGTTGATGAAAGTCTGCAGCGGCCTGTTGGAAATCCTTTTCATGACTCGTATGGAAGAACTGACTTCATATTTGTGTTGGAAATCCGAATGTTGTTGTTTGTGATGATTAGGCGGAGTTGAGAATATTTCCACACGGGTTTCAGGTTGATGAAGGCGTAGTGCGCCATGAATGTTTGAACTTCTATTTCAACGCATTCATGTACTAGGGTGCTATTCCATCTGTTTTAACGGCGTGACTTCTCGCACGTGGCTCGCTCCCTCTTCGTACTATCATTAGGTTCACTCTTCGGGCTTGCTAAAACAGCCGGTTACCAGACTAGTTACTACATGTTAATTTTTGGTTATATAAATATAATTCATATCAGGAAGCACAACAGTGCATAAGACTTGTACCTTGACTTCATTCATCAGTACATACACAAGTATTGTACTGATCAGGGTTAACCGAGGAAGGCAAGTTTAGTAGGTGCTCATATTAAGACCTGTCTAGAGGTCACCCTTAGGCATTTACATAGGCGAATCCTGATTTTCCGACGATTTTGGCTGGTTGGGTTTGACATCTTCTTCTGTTCCGAATGTGTGTTCGAAACTGTGCTTCCTAGTCAGATAAGTGAAGGAAGTCACTTCCTCCATCAAATATCCCCCGTTGATTGTGGTCGATGCTGGTTGTTGTTAGCTGGCTATCCTGCAAAAGCATTTGAAGCGCACAGGAGAGGTAGTCGCAGTTTGGGTGTCTGGCTGGAGCTGGAACATGTAGGATGTAATCGAAATTTTAACATTATCGTGGCTTTAGGTTGTCGGCTTCGTAAAATAAACGACTCGAAAATCCTTCCCGGGCGGCTTACTTCCACTGTCGCCACTTAACTAAATAGCACACAGAAATTTGTAAATGTTATCTAATGCCCACAGGCTCGTGCTACTCTTCGTTTGACTGACAATACTGTGTTGTCATTTTATTGTAATGTCTTGTCTGAATGAACTTATGGTTATGTTGCAGAGTGACTACTTGCTGGTTGACGGTCTGTGAAAGATGTTTATTTCTCTATTCAATTCTCACGGATGGAATTCCAATCCTGTTTTGCTTAAGGCCCTTCCGTAGCTTCTCAGATATTTCGCAGTCGTATCCATCTAAGTGTTTATCTCTCGATAGTAAGTAGTATGCGCAAGAGAAATCTTTGAACTCTACAGTACTTCTACACCACCGCCACGGTGTTTTACTGCTCAGTATCACCAAATATTTTATCGCATTAAATCATCTTTGGCTGTCGATTAGCTATAATCTGTAACTATGTGCAACCAACGGAAGTTCAGTTATCCCTACAGAAGAACTCAGTAAATTATCTTGGTCATTCGATCTTTGCTTATTGATTCACTTTTTGCTTCCAGGCAGAATTACTTGAGTTCTGATCACTTAACTATGGGTATAACGACCGTCAAATTATGGTTTAGCAACGCCTACACATAGCTAGGCAATACGCAACCTACAGGAATTCGCACAGCAGACCATTTTCATCCTGCCATCGTAAATTTTTTCGCCTCTTTGTAATGAGGTGAAGTTCAGTTAGATAGGCTTCTGCCCGCATAACATATTCTTAACGATCAGTTTTAAAGAAGATGACAAAAGTTTTTGTATTAGTGAAGCAAAGCTGTACTCATGATGATTGAAAAATATGAGCTAACTCTTCACGTGGTGTCCAAATGCTGCACAAACATGTAGTAGTTGTATTTTCCACTATTCTTCAGTTTATCGGGACGCTTTTCTCTTCCTGGAATAGCTTTTAATCACGTGGAGGCATAGTACTCACCCAAATATACTCTGTTCAGTGGTTGACCATAACTATCAGTAGGAAATGGAACAAAGTTTGGGTTGCCGCTCAATAATTTAACATGTATAAGAACCTGTTCTGATTGCTTGTACGATAACTGAACGATTTAAACTTTTGAAAAAGAAGTAATTTATGATACTTCAGGATTATAATTTATAACATAAGTGATCGTCCCTGTAAAGATGGCATGCCTTTCTTGTCAACACCAGTTTATACAAAATATAATCTTATTATACGAAATATAAATATTGTTATTGTCCCAGTTATCTTTCTTTCTGTCCTCTTTCGAGTACATATATTATTTCACACTGAACAAACTTGAGCTTCCGAAGTGATATACGGTCATTTCTCTTAAGTGGGCTTAGGAATACACAAATCTTTCACTCCTGGTATTACTCCAAAACGCCGCTGCTAAATGAACAACAGTTAGGGTCGACGGGAGTGTGTATCAAAAATTGATTCACCTTCGTCGTGAAATGTAATGTGCATACCACTGACTCACAGTATTCCAAATATAATTTTGGGTGTTATATGTGAGTTATTTCACAGCCTGTGCAAAAGTTCAACGCTGAATGCTGACTTCCTCCAGAGAAGCTGAGGGTCTCGTGTGAATTAATGACCCAATTCAGCACTTTGCCAGATTACATCTGGCTTTTGCAACACGACAGACGATTGGCCGAGGATGCACTGATGGTAAACATTATCAATCCTGAAACATACTTTGTGTTAAAATGATTTGCTTTGGCTTGCCAACTGTCCCCTTGTTCAAGTCGAATGAGATGATTGGCAGTTGGAGGACGAGATATACATATCATTATATTATTGTACCGTACATACTTGTCGGTGCGTCGGTGGCATAGCGGTTAGGACGTTCGCCGACCATGCACATGGTTCGGGGTTCGATCCCCGGCCGACTCACTCCTTTACCTCGCTAAGCCAGAAATAATGCTGGTGAAGAGGAAAGGTTGGGGATGAGGCTAGCAACCCCATCCTGTAAAAATAAACACCACTGCTACAGAAACTTCAAGCCAATAGTTTGAAGCCCTATGTTCCACTGGGGAACGTGAAGGAAAAACAACGTACTTTTCGGCGCCACATGGTTCTACTCAGTACATTGTTTCACTATAATGTTAGCGAAATAAAGCGACTTCGATTCATGTCCCCAATACACGATCAATTTCAAGCAGTTACTCGAATATATTATCTCTAGTCGTCTGAATTCTCACTCAGTATTGTTCGTCTTAACCTAACCAGTCACAATTGTGCATATCGTCACTGTTGAGAGATGTCATTCACGGTAGGTGAAGTTTCTTAGAACTCTATCAGTCATAACATATTCATAAAAGACTGTGACATGTTAAATCAACCATGAAGTCCAATTTGTGAATATTCTGATGGATGTAACCGTTTTTCTAATTATTGCAATTAGTTTTGTTTGAGGACGCATCCCCTGTGTAATGTTAAATAAGCTTCTGTATAGAAGTGGTCAGTCAATTGTACACCTGTACCTATTTATGAAGCTCAAAGTGGACTAAGTAGA